GGGCGAGGTGGAACGAAAAGGCCCTGCGCCTGTATAATTAATTAATTGAGCAGCGAATGACATTCAGGAGACAGCAGTGGGACTTTAATGCCAACAGTTGACTCTCCTGAATCCAAGACGCAACTGATGTTCATTTATGAGCCAAGATGTCAAACCAATCAGTGGGCCGAGCTCTAGAACCACTATGTACTATCTATTTCATATTTCTTAGGTAAATCCGCTTCACGCTACTCAGATTGAAAAACAGACCCACAATAGAGAACCGAATAATATTGAATTATATCAACATATTCTGACATTTTCCAATTCCCGATTTCAAGGATTTTAGGAAAAAAAATTACTTTACTGCGCTGCAAGAACAGCAGATGATCCAGAAAAATGATTATCGAAAGTGTGCTCGCCTTCACAGCCACTTGACAGACTCGCTCTAAAAAAAATGTTCTACTTTTATCTCAGTTAAGCTAAAGTCCCAATAAAGATAGGAACTTTGTTTAAATAGAGCGTAGGTTAAGAAAGAACCTCAGTTAAGAGAGGAACTAAGCTAAGATAGAACCGGAGATAAGATAGAGCCTTAGTTAAGAAGAACCTCAGTTAAGATAAAGTTCCATTAGGACATTTGTTTATATAGAGTCTAGGTTAAGAATAGTTAGAATCAGCTAAGATAGAAACTTAGTTAAGATAGAATAGATAGGTAGAGCCTTAGTTAAAAAAGAGCCTTAGTTAAGTTAAAGCCCCAATAAAGATAGGAACTCTGTTTAAATAGAGCTAGGTTGAGAAAGAGCGTCAGTTAAGAGAGGAACTAAGCTAAGATAGAACCGGAGAAAAGATGGAGCCTTAGTTAAGAAAGAGCCTCAGTTAAGATAAAGATCCATTAGGACATTTGTTTAAACAGAGCGTAGGTTAAGAATATATGAGAATAGAGAATAGAAACTTAGTTAAGATAGAATAGATAGATAGAGCCTTAGTTAAGAAAGAGCCTCAGTTAAGTTAAAGCCCCAACAAAGATATGCAATTTTTTTAAATAGAGCATTGATTAAGAAGAAGCTTCAGTTAAGATAGGACCTCAGTTAAGACAGAGCTTGAGTCAAGATAGGGGCTTAGAGTTAAGATAGAGCTTCAATTCCGCTTCGGTGCCTGCCAGCGGGATCTTGTAATTATTAGTAAAGTGAGCTGCAATTTTAATTCCATTTGATACTGAAGTAATGTAGTCTCACAAGTCATACCTATTCCTATACTATATATATATTTTGTTCTTTTTATACCCTGTACCCGTAGGGTAAAAAGGGTATATTAGGTTTGTGCAAAGTATGTAACATACAGAAGGAAGCATCTCCGACCCCATAAAGTATATATATTCTTGATCAGCATGACGAGAGAAATCGATCTAGACATGTCCGTCCGTCTGTCCGTCTGTCCGTCTGTCCGTCTGTCCGTCCGTCTGGATGAACGCAAGGATCTCGGAAACTATAAAAGCTGGAATAACCAAAGTTGGCATCCAGATTCTCCTAGGTCCGAGTAAGGACGAGTTTATTTTATTTTTTGGAATTTTCCCCCCCTTCCCCCGCTACAGAATTTCGTCAATAGCGTCCACATTTAAAATGCTACCTCAACCAAACTTTGCACACATAATTTATATATAATTGTCTATTGTTGTTCAAAATTTTATTTAATTCGGTCAATTCTAAGAAAAGTTATTAGCAAAACAAATTTTCGCCAGTACAACCCCCACAAACTGCAGCAACAAGTTCGCTCTTCTTCTTCCTCTTTTTGCTGCTGCTATGGGCGCATATAACTCAGTGACGCAAGTTAACCTGGGTACAGGGTATTACACTGTCGGGCTTGCTCGACTGTAGCGTTCTCTCTTGTTTTTCTCATTGCAGTCAACACTGTTTGTCTTGTAGATCTGGTGAGTAAATAGATTTTCTAATCTAATCATGTACTATTTATAGAAATATTTGTATACATATATCCTCGCTTTGACGAGATAAACATTTTGAATTGCTTGGCGCTTGAATTCCATGCCTAAAACTCCTATGGTGTGAGATATATACGTATACTATACGTGTACACACACCAGCCCACTCCCACTTAGACTTAAATGTCCCAACTACTATAAGACACAGGTGCGCAGAAATAACCCCGAATCCGATCTGAAAAAAGTGAAAAGGACAACACCGACGATGCCAACTGGGAGGCCAAGGTTGCTTTGAACTGCTCTGAATACTCATGTATGTTTTGTTGGGGGAAAAGGTAACAGGCAAAAAATAGAGCGCCTGTAAATATGGCGACGAATATGTAAAATAGATGAAGCGCCGAAATGTAGATTCATGCTGCCAGAGGAGGCTTAAGCACCGGCCGCCAGAGGGTTAAGCGTTGGGTCCAGGCAGCTGGAGGCGAAGGCAACGACATTAAAAGCGTTCCAAACAGAAAAGGCTTAAAGGCAGCGTCCCGGTGTGTCTGTCTGTGTTTGTGTTTGCGTTTTGAAAGGATAAGCACTTGTTGGCAACTAGGCGTGTGTGTGCGTGTGTTTGTGTGTGTGTGTGTGTGTGTGTGCCTGCCACTAACGCAGTCCCAAACACAAACGAACGAACGAACAGACAAACATTTAAATTGCAAAACTGCAAACGGCATTTGAATTTAAATGTGTGCGCGAGCTTCTTTGTTGTTTAGTTCAAAGCCGTCGCTTTGAGTGTTTGTTTGGTGTTCGTGTTGGCATACGTGCGAGTGTAGGTGTATAGGTGTATGTGTGTGTGTGTGTGTGTGTGTGTGGATGGGTGGTGGTGCTCTTGTTTCCTGTCACTGTGGCGCCACACTTAATTTGTCATTTGTTCGCAGCATTTAAGTGCTTAACATTTGAATGAAATTTCCTACAAATGGATGTCACGTGATTAGCTCCCAAATTTTAAATGTAAATGTTTGCATAATGTTTAATGAAAGCGCCAGCTGTCTTTGATTTAAAGTAGTCCTGCTGGTAGGGAATGTCTTTAGAAAAACAGCCTTGAATCTTCACTTCTCCAACTACAATTAAAGCGTAAATCTGCATTTTTGAAAAACTAACTAAAAATATACAATTTTCTAATATTTTCTTTCAACGCTGCTAATGCTGTATCATTAGAAGCGCTTTTTATTGATTTAGCAAATATCATATGATATGAAGAACTCAAAACTCTGAAGACCAAGTATGCAGTTTTTCTTGTATTCTTGTATAAAATTTAAAAACCATGTTTGAAGTCGATGGATTAAAAATTTGTATTTTTTCAACACACTTTGGAGCTCGTTTTCCCCCATTTGCGATTCGAATTTTCCTACACGTTGATCACAAAACAGTCAGTCAGGACAAACTGTTTTATCGAGAACATATTAATCGATCGTTCGAAATCCCTCAACGAACCCGTAGTTATAGGGATTGGGGAAAAAGAAATCCTTTTTGTGTTACCATCTGTTCAATTTGTGTCGGTATGTAGATAGTTATAGCACCTTTTGTTTAAAACTATTACCCTCTCCGATAAAACATCTGTTCTCTCCCAAAAAAATAGTAATGTTCAATTAGGTTCCAAGGTCCTCGAGCTTCCGGTGAATACATTTTGATGTGCATTGTCCTTTTCTATCGTCCAATTCTGTTCGCTTCTTGGCAATCGCTTGCTTCAAACGGTCTAAATGTTGACAGTAGAGGTTCGAATTCATATGAGAGGTGGCTCACGGTAGATGATTCCCTTCCAGTCTCATCAAATGCACAGCAAAACCTTTCTGGCTGCTAGTCCGACATCGCTTTATCTTCCTTACTAAGCTTTTAAGAGGTCTGCTTACGCACAGCATTGTCGTTTGAGAGCCATTTTTCATCACCAGTCACCATTCGTTTAAGAAATGGGTCGGTTTCATTTCATTTGGCCAACAATTCGCAGATACAAGTAGAAATACGACGTCATGCTTCTTTCAGCTGGTTTTAAAAAGTTTAGTGGTCAGTGTTTAGCTTTTCGGCTGCTGACATGCTGGCCTGCTTCAATAATGTTCACAATTTTATCGCAATTTTCGAAACGGAACAATTGTCAATAATTTTAGCCGCCGTAGTGGCATTTCACCTCAATTATATAAATAGGGGAAACCTGAAATGTGTAACCTATTTTATCTCTCAACTAAATCAACTATCATCTCAACTAACACATTATTAGACGACTTTAGAGAGGAATCTCCCACCTTTCCAACTACTTAACGAGCTATAAGTTAATTCAAAAAAAAAAAAAAAAAAAAAGAAGAAGAAGAACACCAAGATTATTTAATACCAAGTAAAAGTAAATTGCTTAAGAACAAATGAACTTTTTTAACATAATATTAGGATTGCATTCGATATAAGAGAAGTGATGAAGAAACCTCTTCAGTTTTTTCTTGAACACATTTCATTCATTTTAATGTAAAAAAAAAAAACAATTGAAGAGCATTATATATATGTAATTATATACGTAAAGTTTCTTTTGATATAAATAAACAATTAGTAAATAAGAAAATTCTAACAAGTGGAGAGTTAAACAATTTGTTTATCGAATAAGAAAAAAATTACTCACAAGGAAATTGTGTTTTCGATCGACCATTACATATAGTACTACTAAGTATTTGGTGTTTTTATAGCGATTGAAGGAATGTTTGAAATGAATTTAGAAAGAGGAGGAGGGCAGCAGACATTATCGCACAGTTTCCATTTCAATTGTATTTTCATTATCTTTTAGTTTGAAGTATTGAACGAAAGAAAAGGCAGCTTCGCCATGGATAAAACTAATAAGAGCGCGCAGGATCTTAAAATCAAGCCAATATCAAAATTCAAGATAATCAATGCAATCCAAAATATTCCACCAGGGCTGGCCAACTCGTCCAGCTTGGTGTCCACGGAGGGCCATGTGCCATGCGTGTATAAGCCATGGGACAATAAACAGCTGCTTGAGAGTGGAGACCAGGCTGCTGGTAACATTACAAATGAGGCTTCACCAATGGCCGGCAATGGGGCCATACTGCCCAACAATAATAACTGCAATTGTAAACGTCTAGTACAGGCGGAGCAGGCGAAGGTGGCCAGCATCTGCAAATTAAACACTAAAAGTCTGGTAATTCGTCGTCCGTCCGTAGCAAGGGTAGAGCCAGCCTGGAAATCGCCCCAAACTATGAAGCTTATCAGAGGAGCAACCGAGTTGCCCAAACATCTACCGTGCTCCACGGATGACTGGCCGGAACTGAGCGAGCTCAGCTTTGATTCCAATAATCCCTTCGGCATGATGGAGCTGAGTTTGTATTCGGAAATATTGGCACCTTCTATGAACGAGACGGATCAATCATTTGACTGCTTGTCTCAATTGGAGTCGCCGATTCAGACTCAAGCACACCCCCCATCGACATCGTCATCGTCTTTATATAATTCCAAAGCAGCACCGCCCACAATCGGCCGACGTTTGATTTTTAAACCCAATTACAACGGGTTGCCCAAGCCCGCCAGTGAGGGGACTCGAGAAGTTCGCGAAGAGCTGGATCTATTCCCTAACCCACCATTATCCATTGTAAGTTTGGTTTCTGTTTCCCGTTATTGTTTCCCCCAAATGTGACACCTTTCCTTATTCGTTTCTGTTTTAAACACTTATTATTTCTATTATTATTATTTATCGTTTTATGCACTTTGAAGCGTTGTGAAGCTTTGGAGAAAATTGTTCAAATGCTTTAAAACCAATTGTTCCAATCACAATCCAATCCATGAGCCAAGCCATTTCGAGAAGCAGACTTTGGGAGAAAAATACCTCAACTGCACAAACGAGGCACAAATTTAAGATATTCCTTCCACTACTGATAATATTTAAATACTAATAACAACCAACTATGTATACAAAAATGCTCAATTAAGTCTGATATTTATTTTATTCATTTATATTATTTATTTATTTTGTTTATATTTTTATATTGTCTTTTAAAAAAATATTTGAGCCAAATGTGATTGGAGTTATAATATTTTATTTAATAGCAATAAAAAGCAATAGTACATTTTTTATTTTATTTAAGTTTTACAAATTTTTTATTAGCTTTGTTTATTGTTGCTCTATTCCCAGTTGTATTTTAAGTAGTATAGTTTTAAAGGTCTAATATATATTTGTTAAGTAAGGTAAGCAAGATAGGACGCTACAGTCGAGCAAGCCCGACAGTAAATCACGCTGTACTCTCCACAAAAAAGGAAAATTAAAAAAAATAATAATAATTTAAGAAAATTTAATTTAACTTTTGGTGCATCGAAAAAAAAAACTGAAAGTCGTACTTTCTTGGACTTGGAAGAATCTGCATACCAAATTTGGTTATTCCAGTTTTTCTACTTGCTCAGATCCTTACGTTCATACGGACGGACGGACAGACAGACGGACTTGGCTTTATCGACTCGACTTGCCAGACTATTATTTGAAACGCCATATTTTTCTGTTTTACTTAAATATTTTTTATTCACAAGACGAATAAGACTCCAATGTTCAACCATAGGGTAAATCTGATTTAAAATAGTTTATTTTTTATGAAATTACATTTTCGATGGCTATTTTTGCTATATTTTGTCGCAGAATTTGAACTCAATATATATACGATGTACATTTTCTATTCACTTTATCCTTTTTCGATGAAACAATCCCACTTTTTTCACTCAGAAAGTTTGAAAATCCCGAACTGGCTAAAAATCTGGCAACATTCCTGTTTATGTACATATGTATCGTATGCGTTATGTATATACATACTTGTAGTTTAGTTGCACTCTATGTATACCCAAGCTCTCGGAACATACCAAAGATATTTGCTGTTGGGTTAGTTCCTTTAGAAACTTTAGAGTGTCGGATGAGAAAAAGCATATTGTAAATAATCTTGTAATTGTAAGCAAAAATACGTAGCCCAGCAAAGACGGGTGAGACCTGATAGTATTTTATATTCAAATTAGCAAAATGCTGATGAGAATATCCATCTATATATAGTCTTTGAACACATGTGGATAAACTAAAATAGCTTTATTGATCAATTCCCAAAAAGAGGGTCAATGGAGAGCTGCAACTGCGGTCAGACATGCAAATAATTTGCATACAAATCTGTGTTACTTCACCAGTAGGCTCTACAAGCTTAGTTATATTAGAAAAATAAATCTGAGAAAATGTTTAGGGAATAAGAAAATGTTTTATAAATAATAAATGTTATTATTGTAATTAATAAGTTAAAATCTTTATACAAGTATATTAAATATACACTTACCTGATATTTTTACAAAATAATCTCTTTTCATTTCACTTTCTTCGACCACCAGCACCTACCTACCAGTCGCATATAGTCGTATTTTGTTTGGGCTATTTGTTTCCGGATTTTATCGGGTAGGCATTGCTCGTTTGTTCACTCGTCTCATGAGATATCATTTGTTGGCTCAAGTAAATTTGTGGCATGTTACAAATTTTCTATATTTGTCCAAAATCTACAATTGTATCCAAATATTCCGTTAAATTCGAAATTCGAACGCCTTTCAGTCCAGACAACAGAAAGTATGTCAAACGCGAATCTCCAGGCCAGACATATCGAGAATATGAAGCGCGGCAAGACCGTACGCGAGCTCATTAATATTTTCGAGAAACTGTGCAGCGATGTGACAAAGGGTCCAGGTTCAGATTTCGTCTCAATGTCAGATGCAGATCCAGGCGTGTTTACAGCTGAATCGACTGTCCTTTTACCCAAAAAGGTAGCACAGGCCCCGGCCTCAATAGTGGCCAGTGCCGTGCAGATGGCGAAACAAACTGAAGATATCGACGAGCATATATTGAGTCCGCAGCGGGCTTGGAACAATCGAGCGACCAAGCAGAAGATACTGAGTTGCGAGCTGGAAGAGCAGTCGGCCATGGCCGCCAAGCCAGATGAGGAATCCGAGCTTGAGAATAGTCTGGATGAAGCTCATGGACTGGGGGATGCGGATCGTCGAGTCGCGCCGACAGTTCCGCATCTTCGAGGCAACGAACTGATGGCCGGCACTGTACGGATGAACGGGCCCTTCTGCCAACAACTAAACGAACTCCTCAAGATGCATGCTTTTACGCAACAATTCATCCTGCGCCGAGGACTGGTTTAGCGTGAATCATTTGTCGCTCCCACACTCCAAACTCCAGAGGAGATGAGTGTCCGGCTAAAGAAGACAAGTTTTTTTTTTTATAATTTTCCGATGGTACAATATAATGAAACGTTTTAAAATATTTAGACCATAGACCATCAAATTAAAAGTAACGAAATTATTTTGCGGCAAATATATATTAGTATGTGGTTACAACATTACCGATAATTGTCTTAATTATGGTCAAATCTAAGTGAAGGAATTGAGATGACGAATGACGAATTTTTGTAGATATAGTATAAATGGTGTGGTCCTTAATGGTTTTGTATTTAGTGAATAAATTTAGAAGATAGATTTGCTGACTACAGCTCTTTTGTTTCAAAAGACAGACCCCGTGTTATACGAGACAAATCGATGCAGAAAAAAACGTCCGTCTGTATGAACATCCATAAATTTTGAACAATAACAGATAGGGACGCCAAACGTGGTATATAGTCTTGTCTGATTGATATGCAGATCAGACTTATAACAATCTCGTACTAGATAAAGGCATTTATTACTTTCATATACCCTAAAGATATTGGCCAACTAATTCATAGAAAAATTATGGGTATAGCAAAGTCTATTTCAATTAAATGGCTGAGCTAAAAAGCATTACCATATACTCGTATACTGAACAGATTTTGAAGCGAAATGAAACGTGAATATATCGTTTGAGTGCATTACTTTCTAGATAGCCAGCATTTAGTACATTGTTGCAACTATTTCGGACTCCCAGTTTTTGTTGCAGAATATGTCTTTAGCGTCCTTAACTATTCCAGCAACTAAGTAGATGTGTGAGTGTGTGTGTGCGTGTGCTACTAACTGAAATTAACTTTGTTATGTACATAGTTCCTACACAGACCTTTCAAAAGTGGTCTGGTGCGCCGTCAATGACAGTTGCTATTGCCATTGTCATTGTTGTTGTTGTCTTCTCGGCAAAAATGTAGCTTTAATTCTCTAGCTACACACACCCACACAGGCACATGTACAACGAATATGCACAAAGGGACAGACACGCACACGCTGTGAACTACTCGTACATTGTAGCTACTTGTAGTTCTAGCAGCTTTCCCTCGAGATTCAGATGTGCGCCCCCCCCCTTCCAAGCACACTCGTACGTATATACATAAATACAAGTATATGGTAGGGTATATATGTACATGCACACAGATGTCACTCTTGTATTGTGTGGGAAAAGAAATTGCAATTCATGTGCCAACGAAAAATTGGCGGGCGGGGGAAGAAAAAATAACGTTTTGCCACAAGCAGTTGAGCTGAGTTGCTCCCTGCGCTGAAAAGTATGCTACAGTGAAATTGTTATTTATTTGTTCGAATGTCGAATGTCCTGCGAACTGCTCACTACATTTTTGTGCTGAATATATAAAAATGTATGTACTTGTATATATAAACATATAGTTTATATCTGTAATCTAAGAAATTGGACGCAGTTCTTCGAAGGGAAGTGCCCGCTTAAGAGCATACTTAGACATTTTTTTTATGGCTGTTTAGACAGCGATTAAGACAAATCGTATTTATTCAATTAAAAGATTCAGTTATGAATTTATTTTAGCACATAAAGAATTCAATTAAAAAGAAGCTTCCAATTCATTCAATAGCTGAAATAGCTGTGGATTTAAAAATTCAGAGTTTGTTGATTGACGTTTTTAGTTTTTTTTTACTTTCGAAGATAAGTTTCCGCAAATGGGTTTCCAAGTTTTACAACATTTTAAAATACTCTAGTAGCAGCTTATGTTCAGAGTCCAAAACGTTGGCATAATCTTGGGATTCATAAAAGCCTGCCTTTTTTTTTTTTAAATTTTCTTATAGCTTCTGGTTCCATACAAATCCAGACCGATTTCAAAATAAGACTAAACTCTTAGTTTAAGCTGTATTTGTATTTTTCTTATAAATAATTACAGTTTCATAAATAAAAAAAGACCGTTTTTCGAGTTGGTCGATTGTGGATATTTTTGATTGCCGTCTGATTTACAAATAAATTGCCATAATCTGCAAACTTTTTTCGGTTATATGTCTTTGTCTTTTTCGATCGATTAATTTTTTGAGTGCATATAGAAATAAATTAACCAGAAAAACAAAAAACAGCGCTATTTGTATGTTCAATTTGTCAAAAGCAACTAAACACAGACACACATTAGAGATGTACAATACGAATTTGTGGGTATACTAAAAAGGAATGCTTTGCAAATCGACTCACGATCAGAAAATAATTTTAATTATGCATAGACGTGCAGTTAAAAAAGAAATATCACTTTTATAAGACTCTTTCTTCGATGGTGTTTTAATCGTCCATACTAGGTTGTCTGCTTCTGTATTATGAATGGAAAATTGTTTAACATAAATTGTGGAAAAGGTCTTGCCAATAGTCCAGCACACATATAGAGAGTTAGCTGAAGACTAAAAAGAAGTCGAGCAGTTAAGACCAGAAAGTCAAAAAAAAGGTGAGAGACGAAATGAAACATTTTCTCAAATAAAACATTTTCTTGTAATCAGAATACATTCTTATAATCATTCAAAGTACGAGTTTGTGCAAAACTTTATATAATTGTAGAGTTGAACTCGTATTAAGTTAAAGTTCCCCAGGGCGAACATGTAAAAATATTAATAATAATAGGACCTTTTGTGAACTGTCATGGACTGACTTCATGTGTTTTTTTTCCTAGCAGGTTTTAAGGTCTGCTTTTCCTCACCTTCCCCTTCCGACCGTAACTTCGTCCAAGTTTTCCGGCAAGTCCCTTTGAAATCATAATTTTTATGACAACTGTCTTTATCATCCTCAAACCATATCTTCACTCTTTTGGAAACAAAACTACAGTGGGAGGGAATCGAAGATGTGCACTGAGAAAACAAATCAATGCAGCTTATTTTATTTCCATTTCAGGGATTAGCGCGATTTAATGGTACAATGGTAATAAAAAGGAGATTATTGAAATATATCAGTCATATTAATATAAGTAGTTGAGTATAAGGATCTTGGTGAACCTGAATTGGATGAGTTTTCTAAAAACCCAAGACCCTTAATTGATCTCTAATAAAATAATAAAATTTCTCAATCTATATCTATAATGTACTACATATCTATATAGAACAGAAGACTATGGAAAGTATTGAAAACAAACGGACTTGACTCCTAAATATCCTGTGCTATCCTATCTGAATCTATATCTGTATAGTACTATATATATATATATATAGAACATGTAAGACAGTATAAAAAATATCGCAAACTTGCAACACGAGAGGTCACGAACAAAAACACGACTCACGCCCACCTCTAACACACAGACACACACATACAATCGTACACACAGAGAGCCAGCGAGATTTTTTGGTATTTCCCTTGCTTGTGCTGTGCTCGTTGAAGTTGTTAAAATTTTATGGCCAAATATGTACGTGTGGCTCACTGTTGTTGTTGTTGTTTGTGTTGCTTTTGTTGTGGGGCGTGTGAGGCACGCCCATAACAAGTTCGTGGCGTGCGATTGTGTCTGTTTGTTTGCCTGTTTGTTTGTTTGTGTGCGTGATTTATGCGCTCGAAGTGTGTAAACTTTTGCTTTGGCATTGCATCGAGTTTTATGTAACGCGTTTCTCCTCCTCCATATGCCTGTACACACACACACCCACACATGCATACATATGTACATACATATGTATGTATTTATTCCTGCTATGCTGGCAATTTTTGTTGTTTTCAAATTTTGAGTTATTGTTTGACATTTGGCCATGAATTGTTATGCAAATATTACGCATACGCCTGGTATGCAGCATAAAAGAAAGAAAATAACAGAACAGAAAGGGAAAGAAAAGAGAAAGCAAAACAATACAAACTGATTCCCCATTGCCAATACTCTGACTGATTGCATTGATTTCTCCAAGGAGCTAAGAGCCACTTAGCTACTTCTGCCGCCCAAAGGAGTCTGCAAGTATTTCGTTTCCATTATGAGGCGAAAGTTTGGTTTTTTGTTTTTGGTTTTTGATTTTTTTTCCCACTATTCAACTGAAACTATTTTCAACTGAAAATAGTTTAGTGCACACAAATTGATTTACTGTTATCGCGTTGGCTATTGCGGTTTTGTGAAGCCTTCCCCCACCGCTCACAGCGCCCAGCGGGTGCCCCAAAGACTGTAAATTGAAAAATTAAACAATAAAACGAACATTTGGCCAAAACATTTGCGGTTTGTGCGCGTTTGCTGCACGTTTGTTGCTGTGCCATCGCTTTTTAGCGCTTTAAGCGATTTTCACACATCCGCCACGCGTTGTGGTTAGCCACACACACACAGCCACACACCCACACACACGGACATTCAAACCCACAGGAAATACGTGGGGAGGGGAGGGGAGGGGGGTGGGGAGGGTGTCAAAAGAATGGAGAGAAAGTTTGCATGACCATGGAAAGGCATAAAGAGACATGCGGGTGCGGTCAGCATTTTTCCCCGCTGTTTCTGAGCCGCTTCCTGCCTTCCCTGCATCCTGCCTCCTCCCACCACCCACCACCCACCTCGTTTCTGCCTCAAATACTTTGCATCGCTGACATGTCATAAATTTTCAACCACTACAATGAATGACAAAAAATGCTGAATTAATCGCATAACACGAACATTAGCGTAGAGGCCGCATATTACGAGCAACAAATTATTGTGCAGAATACTCGACTTAGGGAGAAAGTAGGGAGAAGGAGCGAATAATAAATTAAAAACAATAAATTTCTTCATTTTTTTAAATCTTTAATGACTGAGCGCGTTCAGCAGGTTGTTTATGTTTTTTAATTGTTTATTTTTAAAAAAATGTATATTATTATTCTAGGTACACGATATTCTACTTCCCACTTGTTTTTAAATGCTAGGCTGGAGCAGAATATGGCAGAATGCTATCAAGAGTTGAAAGCTAGTCGGAGGAGACAATCCTTCGGACTGCCGCATAACTGCAGTGGCGACGCCTTCTTCCAGTCATTCTAGATGGCAAGCCGATTTCCAAACTATTCGCGTATAACCAAGTGGCAGCTAAGACACTTGACTCTAGTACAAACATGATCGCTTAGTGAGGCCAGTGTTGGCCTCATCGGAACATTAAGCCGAACTAGCTGGGAAGGATACTAATGTGTGTAGTCTGAACACTTTCAATAAAAGCTATTAACAAGAAAAGCAACTAGGCAACAAATCGGGCGTCTAATTTGAATTAATATTAGAGAATAGATATAGGTTTGAAATAATATTAGAGAAAGACAAAGAAAAAGAAGGAATTCGAACATGAAATTGAAATCACTGAGTGAGAAAGCTATTATTTGAATTTCGATTCCGCCATATTTAAGCGATATTGTAAAGGAAACTGGAAATATAAATGGAAACAGAGTCGCCGAATTTTTGTTTGTTATTTGAATTTATTGTTGCATACTTTTCAGCGCAATGCTTTGGAATAGAAAGGCTGGGGCGGGCTGGATGTCATTAAAACTTTTTGAAATAGTCGCCTTATTACATTTATCAAATGTTCATTATTTAATGATGCCAGCAGGTTGCCTGTGCGCCACCCCGCGTCAAATCCTGTGCAGCTGTCGCGCAATTCTGAGCCGCAACTGCTGCTAATAAGCAAACAAACTAAGAAACTAATGTTGGCGCAAAGTTCTGCAAAAGTGCATTAGTTGTGGGGAACAACAACAGCAATAGCAACCCAAGCATCTTCATTTATTTCATGTCACTTGGCAAAACTTTGCCAAAGGCGAAGGGAGTGGAGGGGGGGGGGGGGACTTGTTGTTGTTGTTGTTGTCAACAAAATCCACAGCAACTTGGCTTTTTTTCTTATTAACCGTAGGTGTGTGTGTGTGTGTGTGTGTGTGTGGGGCAGCTTTCAAATGCATGTTAATTTAAAGTGCCTTTAAATGCAAATGTGACTGAGCCATTGTAATTTGTTTATTTTGATTTAAAACGCTTTTTGCTGGCCAAGTTAATGGCGAAATGTTAATTAAATGGAAAGTGCATTGCTATTTACCTTTTTGTGTCTCTTGCAGCAGATCCTTTGCCAAGCAACAATTCTTTCTTTCGCACACATGCATGTGCTTTTGTGTGCGTTTGTTCGTGTGTGTGTGTGTGTGAGGGAGGGAGGGAGGGTGTGATGTGGCAGTAAGCATTCAAATGTGCTATTTAATGAGCACACGCAGCCTTGGCACTTCCTTTGGCCTTTCCTCTGGCCATTTCACATTCATTTTTTGCGTCCATGGTGTGGCGCTCATTTTGAGCATTCAGCTTGCAGCTTCCTTCCGTGCGAACACCCATCTGTGCTTGCCCCTCTGTGTGTGTGTGTGTGTGTGTGCGCCCTGCAAATGAGCCATATTCAATGTTTAAAATAAGCTTAGTACCAAAGGAAAAAAAATCACAATTGTCATCTACTACAAGTATATTATTTTAGTCTAGTAGCCGAAAACGAGCCGAAAGATTTACAATACACCTAAAAATTTCTCGTTTACACAAGTTAGTATTATCAAAAGGTATTCAAACAGAAATTGTTTGTTTCTGCCAACCCACTAGATTGTTTCGCCAAAGGATCCCTTATTCTGATTGTTGACTGTTAGAGAAATCGCTTAGCATGGAAAGACTTTTAAATTCTTTCCCTAAATCAAACCCAAGAATTTTTAATAAACTTGCAAATTTTGAAATGAGTTCTTCAAATATATCATCACCATCCCCATGCTAGAGGGTGGTAAGAGAAAATGGTCCGTTAGGCGCCGGGGGGTGCTTGAAATGTTTTACCAACCGAATCCATAAATTTGCAGCACACTTGATAATTTTTAGCCGAGCTCTTGATTTACATACAAATATTCACTAATGCCAACTATTTACCTTGCCAAGCCAGACCCTCATCAGGGCCAAGCGACATCTCTCAGCAGACACTTCCGCTCGCTGGTTCGCTACTGTAAGAAGTCGGAGAAAGAATTGTTCGGATTAGTTGTCGGACAGAGCCAACAAATTATAAATAAATTAAAAGGATTACACTAGACCTTAAATTATAAGCAAAACGTTGGTCAAATTTCTATGCTTTCCTAGTGTAGTAAGAAGTATTCTCGTTTATTTAACAATCGACTGCTTTCAAAGTTATTGATATCGGTATAATATCGATACATCGATGTTTTGTAATAGCGATGTAAGTCGAAGGGAAAACATCGATGTTGCTGTACATCGATGTCTCTTTATAAAAAATCGATGCATGGTCGATGCATCGCAAAAAACATCGATGTTTTAAAAATTTAACTTTCCATACAAAAAATGCAAAGATTAGGCAGAAAATCAACAGAGATGTTTGAAATAAAAAATGTTTATATATCAAGAGAGACTGCCATGGTATTTTACTTAATGTTGTCAATCAATAAGGTACTAGTAATGTTGACTTTTGAAAACTGATTAAATACAGTTTTAAAAACGACGCGTTGCAGCTAAGCCTAATAAGCATATTAAGTGTGACATTATATACGAAAAAATGAAGATCAAATGCTTAACAATCTAAAATGTTTATTACAAAATACACATTTTTATGAAAACATCAAATAATTTATAATACAAATATACCTTCTTCGGTAAACCACACAAAGAAATGTGACCGTCCAACAAAACATGAATAATGTTCGATGTTTGGACAAACATCGATGCATCGTTAGCAAAAAACTATCGGAAAACATCGACGCATTGTGGTAAAAACAATGTTGATGCTTGATACATATATGTTTTTTACATCTTTTTACATCCCTACTTTGTAATTTATTTCAAGTATCGATGTTTTTTCCGATGTTCCATGTTTTTATTTACAACTTTTTCATTGCAAAAAATCGCGTTTAAAGCAACAAATGCATTTTTTAATAAAAAGAAATCCTGTATTAATAATAAAAAAATATATTAGCAAAATATAATATGTAAATGGTGTTACCAGGGCTATAGGAGATAGTTATTTGAAAGATTCTAATAGCAATGCTTATTATTATCTTGCTGTCTTATTAGATACATTAATATGTTATTGATTGCAAAAATGGAACTCGATTGAAGGGGACAAAAAACCTGAGGAAGGATAATAATATGAAGAATATGAAGAAGTTGAAAAATTAACACCAAATACACTACAAGTATGTACAAGCATTAATATAGGCTTTTTGAAAATTCCGCATTTGTAGAAGTTCGCTACTTTGATGTTGTTTCAGCTCTACTGCTCTACGAGTAGGTTTTCCAATTAGGGAGGTAAAACGAACATCGATGTATCGAGCATCGACAATATTTTGAACATGATGCATCGATGTTTTTTTTTTATTTTATTTAAAAAGATTTTTTTTCTTGCGATATATCGTAGATCTATCGATGTTTGTCCAAACACCAAACATTTTTAATATATTTTGTATTTTTTTTTTTTTTTGATGTTTTTTTTTAAATGTGTATTTTCTTGTATAGTGTTATGCATTTGATCTTCATTGTGATTTGAAAATGATTCTGGACTTACACGATCGAACAGGGAAGCGTTCTGCTTACTCCATCTGGCTCCTGGCCGGCTTGCTCCTGCAATTGTCGACCCTTCAGCAGTCGCATGAGACGCAGAATAGCATTGCGCAGCGCTTGAATAATGCGAGAGATAAATTTGGGCAAGACAGTGAACGCTGCGAGGCGCAAATAGAAACATTAATGACTGCAGGAACAAGTAAAGCAGCCATCACTCACCTTTGTGTTTATTTTGTTTGCGACGGCGACTGAACACAGCCGCCATTTTATCCTGCGGCGCCTCAGTCGGCGGTACGCAGAAGCGAACTTCGAGATCCAGGGGCAGTTGCTCCTCGGTCAACTGGTCCTGTGCCACGGCCAGCACGACTTTTTTGCCATCGGCATCGCCTTGCCCTTTTTCCACTTGCTCGGCCAGGGCTGATTGCGGCTTATTACGCGCCTGCATTGTTCTTACGCGTCGGGAGACGCGATTGAAGAGAAAGGTCGGATCAAATTTAGCCACAGTCTGGGCTACGTAACCGTTGAGCGACTGGGTCTCCCAGAAGCTGTTGGTACTGCTGCTGCTGTTTTTGGCGTAGCTCTGCGCCGAACTGAAGGAGGCAGTAAGCTCCTCAATGCTCTCTGCCGTGCTCATGCGCTCGAACTTCTCAATCAGCACCTTCACATTAAAGTTGTTGTTCGTTAGAGCCGAGCAAGAAACAGCTCTAGTGGCCTCCATGGGAGAGTGTCTTGAAATCAAAATCGAATAAAAGCAAAAACAATAAAAAAAAATACAATATGGGAGAGCAAATGTTTTGCTGTCTGTGTGTCTGATAATTGTAATAGTCAAGTAAAAATGTTCCCACATGGGGCAAGTGAAGCAAACGGATCAAAGCCTACTGACCCAATCGAGCAACAAAAAGTCCCCAGGGAACACACATTCATCATCCATCCATTTATTAAAATAGTAAACGCAAAAAAAAACAAAGAGTAAACATTTCTTAGTTAATAACTCGTGATAAAATGTGGTTCAACAATCAATCAAGTTTCTTTGTCTAAAGGGAAAGGTTGCTGACAAAAGTTATAAGACCGATTCATAGTATGTTTCAGAAACAACAATACTTTTCCAATAATGCAGAGTGTTGCCTAAGGATTTGGAGAGTCTAAACACCGAGTTTTGTGCTCTTGCCTCAGCCATTTCCGAAAGCTAGGCGTTCATCCATGCAGACGGACATGGCCACTTTGATTTGTCTTGCCATGCTGATTAGAAATGTAGCAGAAGCTTCCCTCTGTATGTTACATGCTTTTCATAAGCCTCACATACCCTTTTGACCATTTTCACAGGGTCTCTTGAACAACAGAGAACGCTACAGTCAAGCAAGCAAACATTAAAATGAAATACCCAGACTAACTTCCGCCACGTAGATAATTATAATTATACTATATTGTGTGCAAAGTGTGCTTTATGTAGCTTTTGAAATGTGGACAGTATTGACGAAATTCCGTGGCATGGAGAGTGAGGGGTGGGGGTAATAAAAAAAAAGAACTCGTGTTGTCTAAGGATTAGGAGCGTCTATATACCAAGTTTTGTTTATGTTGCCTCAGCCATTTCCGAAAGCTAGGCGTTCATCCAGACAGATGGACGGTCTTATCCACATCGATTTCTTTCGTCGTGCTGATTAGAAATATAAATACTCTCTCTTTTCACAAACCTAATACAGTGACAAATATCTTAATGGACATCTCTTTTATCCTTTTTTTTATGTTAGTATAGTACTAAGTATGTAATAAATACTGATCTTGGGAGGACAAAAGTTGGTATCATGAACACGCCCATGAAAAAAGACAAATCCATGCGTTCCACACATTCAAAATCATATTGTTTTTGAGGAGGAAGAAAGCTGGCAGGACAACACATATTTATTAGCTGTGTTCTGTCCTTTTATTATTAGAACAAAAAAAAAAAACGGTGTTAAGTGGGATAATCAATAATTTAGATGGCGCTTAAATTTGATTAAAATTGTACACCTGCAGCTTAAATTGGCTTCCGTAATTCCGTAATCCCTTAATCGTTTTATTGGCCAATGCACAAATGCAATGCCCGAAATTAGCTGTGCATGCTGTGGAATATTGCGAAATCAGAAACGTCGAGCATTGCAATTTGTGGCCGGCGATGCGGCAATATGCTTCATTAGCATATCACGTTCGTTACACGTGCCACATAAATGCACACACACACACATACATACATACACACAGATACACGCCAGCGGGGGCACTCGGTTGGTCGTGCAGCTGTTGGTAATGATATGAGCTTTGTTGTCGCTTAACTTGTGTGCCAATCTATTTTTATTTATTTGCAGCAACACCACCACGCATTATTGACAAGTACAGTTGAGTATAAAAGTTGGAGTGTCAGTCGTTGGTTGTTGTCCGTGTTGTCCGTTGTGGCTGTCGCAGCCAATGCGGCTAATTAAAACTTTGCTGCAAGACGTTGTCGCTTGACGCTGTCAATTAGCACGTGACCGGAACGAAGCGACAGGCGATTGAGTAGAAGACCGTAGAAGCAGCCACTAGCAACGAGGAAACGACAACGGAACAGACGCATAGAGGAAGAAGAAGAAGGGCACATTTCTTCGAGTGAACGCAGCTGTAACGAAGGCCGCCACATTGGAAGGAAAAAAGCTATTTACGGCAGTTAATAAATTTTTAACTGGTTCCACATTCGCTCGGGAGCTAAGGCAGCTAATGGTGAGTTTGAGCTTTCAATTGGCCCCACATTGGGCGCCATTAAATGCCTAACGCAAGCACACTTTACGCACACTTTAGACGAGGAACACGGCGGTCAGTGGCGATGAACCAGATGACGATCAGTCGGCAGAGGAGCAGGAACAGGACCAGCAACAGCAGCAGCAGCAGCACCAGCAGCAGGCAGAACAGTCAGCAGAGGCGCAGAACACAAGTGAAGGAGCGACGACGGGAGCGCTAGAGGCTGGCCAGCAGCAACAGAGAAAGCAGCACCCACAGCAACGTCAGAGACAACAACGCAAAAAAGTGACCACACAACTACAAAAACAGCAACAGAAACCACAACGAAGCACAACAAGCGCTGCCAACTCAGATGGAGACACAGACTCCTCGTCATGCGACACGCATCATGAGGTGCGCCGGCAGCGGAGCAGCACGCGCGTAAGCTATGCCCAGAAGAATCTCAGCGAGCATGTGGTCTATGAGCAGTACTGTGACGAAAACGAGTACGAACTGGAGGAGGAGGACGATGTCGATGAGGATGGAGAGGTGGAGCAAGGAGATGGCAAGAGCAAGGGTAAGACTGTCGCAACAGCCGCCTACATCGACGAGGCCGATGAGTATGATGAGGCCGGTGGCTTAGGCAGCGAAGATTACTTTTGCGATGAGTCGCCCACACCGCACGCGCCCGCTGATCTGGCCTCGCTAAGTGTACGCAGAGGTGTTGGGGGCGGCGTGGGACTCGGTGGCGGTGGCACTCGGAGCAAACGCAAAACGAAAACGCGTCAATTCTCGCAGCGCGCCAGTTCCTATACCGTCGATTCAGCCATCGATGCGGACACGACGGACAAGCGTCGTTGCATCTCGAAGGGTCAAATGCGTGGTAAGTGAGAAAACAAACTATATACAAGTATACTGGCCCGAGCTAGCAACAGTCGCTGATTGTCGACGGCTTACAGAATTTCGTGAGGCCTTTCGTCTGTTTGACAAAGATGGCGACGGTTGCATCACCAAGGAGGAACTGGGCACGGTTATGCGCTCGCTCGGTCAGTTTGCACGCGTCGAGGAGCTGCAGGAGATGCTGCAGGAGATCGATGTCGATGGTGAGTAGCCTTCGTGATTGTTTAACTCTTCTATATCGCCTATAGTGCTTCTATTACTCCACCCCTACCTCGAACTTATTTGTCTTTACCTGTCCTGCCTCTGCTTCTAACCATTCCCTTACTCCACTTATATGCTCGTCTTTATCATCTTTCTTTTTTCTAAATTTTTGAGACTTCATATCGATAAAAAAGATTGTTGTTGGATCACGATACAATTTTTTTCAAATTTTAAGTCTATTCGACATTTAAATTCTTACATGATCTGAGTTCAAAGCGGCCTTTTCTTCAAGTCAATCGTTGCCACTCTTTTCTTTAGATATATCCTCTTCTCTCTCTTCTATATCTCTTGCAGGCGATGGTAACGTCAGCTTTGAGGAATTCGTTGACATACTCTCGAACATGGCATACGAGGACAAGTCCGGGCTCTCATCCGCCGATCAAGAGGAGCGCGAGCTGCGCGATGCTTTTCGCGTATTCGACAAACACAATCGCGGCTACATAACTGCTTCGGACTTGCGTGCCGTGCTGCAGTGCCTGGGCGAGGACTTGGATGAGGAGGACAGTGAGTAGAATTCCGTCGATCGGCCACCTTCTTCCCAGACTTGCCCTTTCCACTAAAATATTTATTGTTTGCTCTTTTCTGCTCTGTTCTTGTCAGTTGAGGACATGATCAAAGAGGTGGATGTGGATGGTGATGGACGCATCGATTTCTATGAGTTTGTGCATGCGCTGGGCGAGCCGGAGGACTCGCAGGAGAATGACGATGAGGAGGAGAACACCACCTCACCACTGCCCACGCCCAAGTCGGCGGTGTCCCTGAGCTACGATTGAGGCGTGGCCTAAGAAGTGATGTTACGAGTACATTTATCCAATTTTGCTCATATCGATATTATTCAACGACATATATGTACATACTATATATATACAAGTATATATATATATATATACATATATATGTGTGTACTTTTTGATTAAGGCTTGTAGTGTCGGCTCATATCTCTATTTTAAACAAATCAGTTAATGCAATTTACAATTAATTATTAATATAATAGTGACATTTTTCAACAAATCACGTTTGCCCCCCTTGCCTCCCATAAATGAATTGGGCCTTCATTCTAGTCATTCGTCGATCTAACAATAATTGCTACAACGCACAGCTAAATAAATTTGATCAATAATTAACATGAATTACTTTATTTATGAGCATTCGCGTTGATGCTCATCTATATAGCACATACTATATACATACTTATACAATATTTATATTTAATAATATTTAGAGATCGGACGAAGAAGGGTTCTCTCCGTTCTACCTACAAGTATTAAGTAAACTTTCAAGCAAATCTTTACTATCTATTGCTAAATCAAAACTATATATGTATACATCTGTAAGACACATGCAAATCAAAAGTCCAATCAAATCAAAACGAATTGGAACATATAGTATCGTATCGTATCATATCGTATCGTATCGTGTATATTGTCTCCTCCTTGCATATACATATATCTACATAGAATACAATCGCGTACATACTATATATCTACTTTTAACTTTCAAACATATCAACGCGCTGGCCTATATCGGTGCGTCCTTTATCTTAATGTCTAACTGTAAATGGGTTTTTCCGTCTCCTACCCTTCCCCATCCTCCACAACGCCGCTTCCACCTCTCTTTTGTTAGCAAGCATTTTACAGATCGAATTATGCTTTTCACATCCACGTTTAAAGTTCGATGAGCATTTTTTTAAAACAATATTTCAATTCAAATAGTAGACAGCATACGAGTAATAATAATATAATAATAATATGTGCTCAATTAATGTTTAATGTTGTTGTTGTTAGCTAGCAACAACGATGCCAAATTTAATTGAAACCAAAAATGGCAAATCTCTTTAACAATTTATTGTACTTACAATTTAATTCCAATACGAAAACTAACTAATTAAAAAAAAAGAACAACAATTCCAATTCAAATAAATACGACTATGAAATCAAAAATAAATGCTGCAATAATTTTTACTGAAAGCGCTGGCAGAAGAAAACAAAACATGCTAAAGATGGTGCTCTCAGTTAGCGGTAAGTATTGGGTGGCTGGGATTTATAATTCGCTTAGCTTTAAATTGACTTTGAAACGAAGAAATAAAAGTGATAGAAGTGAGACTTAGTGGTTCTATTGGATTGATTTAGTTAGAATTAATTGTTTATTTTAGATTTGTGAGGAGAGCCTCTATAATTATTCACCAATAATTGTTGGCTAATGTGAATTCGGTTTGAAAAGCATAGAAAATGCTATCGAGCTAGAAAATTGCAAGAAAATGGCTATGAATAGCTAGAAAACCCGCTAGAAAATTGATAGAAAAACAATTATAAGTAGCTAGAGAAAGGATAGAAAGCTCGCCAGAAAATGTCCACAAGACCCACTAAAAATAGATAGAAAACCCACTAGAAAATAGCTATAAAACCCGCTAAAAACAGGCATAGCATAGCTTCCATAGCCTCAAACAATGTAGCTCCTTTTCTCACTAAAAATATTCCCGACAACCAAAAGAAATGGTTAAACAAGATTGCGAATTTATTTTGTTTACATTTTTAATTTCAATTTCGCCAGCTGGTCTATTTGTGTTCATTTATATGAACCGTGCTATTGGTTTCGTTACAGAAAAGGTTGCCGATGCAGCCATCACTAACCATTTAAGCAAATGATTGCGAATTTATTTTGTTTACATTTACATTTGATTTTTGTTTACATTTACAAGTATAATTTAAATTTCGCCAGCTGGTCTATTTGCTGTTCATTTATGTGCGCCTGTTTCGTTACAGAAAAGGTTGTCGATGCAGCATTCGAGACCATCACATAAAAAGATTCACCTCAATAACACATAGTAGAGGGTCCTATTCAGCTCTAGCAACAACAATTGACGAGATCTTACATTTTATCGATTTCTAGCTGAACTTTTTCATTTTGTTGTAATTTGAAAACAAATTAGCCCGCATTTAATGCAAAGAGCAGAGTACAGAGCTATAGCCACAGCCTCATTTTATCAAAAGGCAGCAGCTTTGTTGACATCATCGTTTGAAGCAACAAATACGGCTAATATTGAATGCTGTACACAAACAGACATACTCGTACTCTACCTATTCACCAGGGACCCCTTGTTTTTCACATTGTGTCTGTTGTTTTTGTTGCTGTTGCCCTGGCTGTGGTTATGGTTGTGGGCGATATAAGCAACAGTCACATTAATGGCCAAGGCAAGTGCGTACCAACAAATGATACTAACAAAGGACGCCGCTCTTCGCCCACAATCAGCTGTGTGGTGCTTTGCGGTTCACGGGGCGTATGCTCAATTATTTTACACATTAACAGCCCTAGCCTGAAGCCACTGCCCAGCTTTCGATTCAATTGAGTGAAGACTAATGTTTTCGTTTGCCGTCTTTCCAACTGAAGTACGAATATGCCATATTCTCGTAAGTAGAGTTTCCTATAATTTATGAGATGCTCACAAGCGGACTAGTAAGTGTACCTTTTGCGGCTACTGTACACATCATGATAATTTATTTAAAGGGCTTTTAACTTTGTAGCGATGGTAGGTTCGTAAGAATATTTTGTCTGTTTATCGAGTTCGGAATGTCTGTGTTATTGTGAAATATTTAACTGATCTCCCCACAGGATTTCTCTACGTGATTCCATGTTTAAATTACATCATAATTTTTAAGAATTATATGTTATTTTACAATAATTTAAATAATTTGTATTTTGTTTCTTCTAGATAGATCTCTTCTATATACGTATATATAAAATTCACAAATTTCACATTTATCTGTAATTTGTTCTAAATGAAATGAAATGAAAATGAAAAATTCAGACTGAAAGAGAGGATCAACCGAATATAATAATGCCGCCGAAAAGCTCAAACTTTAGCAATGTGTGTAGCAGAAATACGTGCTCAGAGACTTCAAGAGTCAGAAGAAGAAGAATCTCAAGAACGTTGAACGTGATGAACGTTATAGCGAATAGAGTCGAATAGAGTTACGACGAACTAACAGCACTATTTAATAGCAAACGGAATCATCCTGTTCCGTCCACAAGAAGAAAATTTTATTTTGAAATGCGAATGTCCGCTAAAATGTCTTATGGACAATTGTTGTATTACCCCTTAATATACAACTGGATAAAGCTTGCACATTAGCTAACCGTACACCTGTTCAATAAAATATAGTTGACATCTATACTTCTATACTAATATTATATATTATTCGATTGTTTGTTGGTTTGAATGAAAAAGGCTCTGAATCTACTGGACCGATTTAATGGATTCTTTCACTGTTGGGAAGCTACACTATCGGCGGTTAACATGGGCTATATTATTTTTTAATAAAAAAAAATCATTTTTTAAAAACATTCAAGTTGCAATTGTGAAATGCATCAAAGATTTTCCTCAATCCTGAGGGCCAGCAATGAACATTACAACTTAAGAGACGAGCTCCTCGAGTATAGAGTACACGACTGATGAATTTTTGAAACAAGAATAACTTGCAATTTATTTATTTGTGCACCTGTTGTTTTATCTCTCCCATCAACTGGCAATTAAAATATTAGCACATTTGTCCAATTAATACACATTTTAAGTGGAACACAGCTTTCGACGAAAACTGCCCACTGTGTAGAGCGATTATATTCGGCTTTGAGGTTCAGAGACGCTGAAAAGTAGGCAACAAAAATTGAACAACACTCGAAATGCCAGACAACCCGCTGATTGCTGTTGACTTTTCGCACATGTGTGGCAGACAAATCAACGAAAACATCAAGTGCAGGCCCAATCCATACTACACATGTATGTACAAAAGGTCGAGTGGCGAGCAGGCTTAGAAAATTTGTTGGCTGCGCATGTGTGTGTGTGTGTGTGTGTGTGTGCGTTCTGTGTTTGTATTTTTGTCGCACAAGCGATTGTTGGACTGATAGACTGAATAAAGGATGTGGGGCCCAACAGCTCGACAAGCTTAAGCGCTCACGTTGATTGTTCATATTCGGCAGCCCCACATAAGCCCGAGCAGTGAATATATTTTGGCGCCCGCCCCTTTTGTATTCATCAGTAAAATCCCCCCTTAAGTGTTTGTGTGCCTTTCGTCCGCGCCTCACTTATTAATTAAAAACATTGCAAAGCCAACGCCCAAAAACTCAACTCAAGTTGAACAATTTAACACTTTAACTTTTGTTTTTATGGCACCGTGGCCCCGCCCGGCCAGGTAATGGGACGGCATGGGGGCATAGCTTTATGTAAATGGCTTTGACTTTGCCTTGAGCTCAGACTCGGGCTCGGGCTGTTATTATTGTGTGTGTGTTGTTGCTGTTGTTGTTGTGTAACGTTTACTCTGGCAGTTTGCTGTTGCGAAACTGCGAACTTGGCCAAGTTATTTCGGCTAATTTAAAGGGACAACTTGGCTGAGAAGGAGCTGCGGTCGTCAGTTGACGGACGCACACACACATACATTTAAGTTAATTTCATTTAAACTCATTAATTTCTAATAGCAGGAAACCAATTTCAGCAAATTATAATGATGTCAGTATTTAAGAGAGCGTTTGGCGCCTTTGTAATAGTTAACTGTTTTGTTATAGCCAATTTGCAAGCCCCCTCCTAGCATAAATATATTTAAAAAGAAAAAGTATGTAAAGTAAGTAAAGTAAGAGAGCGTTTTCGAGACAATAGCAAGAATGCAATAAATAATAGTAGCTTTTAATTATATTTTTATCTTTTTTTTATTTAAATAATTTAATGAAATATTCTTTGAATTAACTTTACTTGTTTTTGACTTTTTTTTTGTAATTTCTGCAACTCCATTTTTAACGTCTAATAAGGTCTCTGATGAGGGCTCCACCGAGTTGGATTCTTTTTTAGATATTTTTGTAATTTTGCATTGTTTTTTTTACATTTTTTTTATTTTTAATTTTTCTACTCTTTTTCTTTTTTGTTAAGTCTCATAACGCCTCTGATAGCTTCCACCGAGTTGGATTCTTTTTTTTTTAGATATTTTTGTAATTTTACATTGTTTATTGTTATTTTATATTTTTCAACTCTTTTTCTTTTTTGTTAAGTCTCATAACGCCTCTGATAGCCCCCCACCGAGTTGGATTCGTTATTAGATGTTTTTGTTCTTCCTACAGGCTTTTCTATTCTGCAGTTTTATTTAGTTTAAGTTCTCTTGATTGCCGGCCAAAAGAAGCCAATGGCTGTCACTAACGAATAAATACAAATTATTATACAATTCTGCATGCTTAGGTAGTTTTTTTTCTCATCTCTGTCCGTCATGTGCAACCGGCAATAAAAAAGGGGACGGTGGAGAACACATTACGATTGTTGGTCGCATAATTTGCGGTCATTATTTCTAATTAATTTTAA